CAAACCCTATCCAACAAATATTGAAAATGATACTGGACTTCAAAATAAAAGAATAGGGACTCATTGGCCACTACTCTAAAGTGATCCCCTATTGATGCTACATTATGTATGTTATCTTCTGGATAGATGATCAGACTACTGGTTTTAGGCATACAAAGTTAGTGAAACACTAAACACTACAAGCATTAAATTGTATTTTGCCTCCATAGCTATCATTGCAGCCTGTGTTTCTCTGTATCAGCCAGTTGCCTGTGATGGGGTGAGGGTGGGCTGTTGGCTCTTCTTGTTTCCCAGCCCACGCTCTGGAAAAGGCCAGTGTCTGACTCTCCCTGAAGCCACCTGCACATTCCACTGATTCACAGGGAGGGCTTGCTTCTTGGTGACTTCTTATTCTCTTCCCCCACAGTCTGCCAGTGTGTTGACTCACAGGAAAAGGCTGGTATCTGGCTCTTCCCCAAGTGGCTTGCACATGGAACTGATTCTCAGGGAGGGCTTGATGCTTGGTGACTTCTTGTTCTCTTCCCTCATAGTCCTATTTCATATTCTTCAATTTTGTTATATTGAGGCAACATTCATAATATGAAATTAATCAAAGGAATATTTTTAATATGAACAATTCAGTGGGATATTGTTTCAAAGTGTTTGACAACCATCATTTCTGTCTAGTTCCAAAACATTGTCATCATTTAAAGAGGAAATTCCCTATTCTCTAAGCAGTTACTTCAGGCCCTAGCAGTACTAACCTGTATTCTGTCTCTATGAATTTACCTACTGTGACTATTTAATATAAATGGAGCATACAAAATGTAACCTTTTGTATATGATTTTTACTTAGCTTAATGTTTTGGTGTTCACATTGTATCTTGCATCAGATCTTTATTCCTTTTCATGGGTGTGTAATATTTCATTCATACATATACTTATTTTGGACAAACAACTTTTTATCTATTTGTGGATATTTAGGTTGTTTTTACTTTTTGATTATTTTTGAACAGGCCTGCTGTGGACATGCATGTACAAATATTTGTTTAAGTTACTGAATTGCTTTTCAGTTTGGAGGATATATGTATATATATATATAACTGGAATTTCTGGTTATATGCCAATTCCATTCTTAAAATTTTTAGTTATTGCTGAAATGTTTTCCATAGTGACTTAGCCATCTCTGCAGTCCTACTGACAAATATGAGAATTTGAATTTTTGCATATTTTCTCCAAACTTGTTGCTTTCCTTTTTTTTTTTTTTTTTAATACATAGTTATCCTAGCAGGTACCAAATGACATTAGAAGAAAAAAGTTTTTAATTATTTATATGAAACTTTTGGGTTCACTGTGAAATTCATTTCCTTTGGCTGCTTTGGCACAGTCACGAAGAATACTTCTTTGTGATAGATTAGTTTCTCAGATATACTGTTGTTCAAATGACCATCATGATTTTCATTTCAAGAAAGTATAGAAGTTTTAATATTTTAAAACTCTGCAAGTACTGCTTTGATATCGCTCCTGTTGTCAAGAGAGAGAAAGAGGCAGAGGGAGAGAGAGGGGGAGAGCCAGAGGCATAAGAAGGAGAAGAAGGGGACAGGGGAATGGAGGAGAGGAGATGAGAAGAGAGAAATAGAACATTTAGAGAGTCTTCTCAACTAACCAGTCAAAAATTTAGTAACCAAGGAAGTAGGGATATAACATGGAATCAGCTGACAGACCTTTTGAAGCTACTCTGCACTACCTTCTTTGGGAGTACTGAGTTAGTGAATTCCATGTGTCTTATCTGATAAGGACTACCTACCGCCCTCCTCTCTGCAGTGATATGGAGAAACCTGGAGATCTCTCTTTTTCTCTGATCATGAAAACACTAGAAATCAGACTGGACTGCTAGAGGACATGCTTTTTAACCTTGCTGTCAAATCTTTTTCCATTCTAATTTGGGCTCCAAATTAATTACTGAATACTGAAACAAGTGGTTAAGCCTACTTCACTTTAATAAGTATTCAGTGAACCTAAAATGCTGTTGATTTTACTAGGATGTAACTTTCTTTTTGTAGCACTAGAAAGATGAAGTGATGGCAGTAAAACCATGACAGGGGTTTTAGACCCAGATATTTATCATTTAACACATTTGTATGTATGCACAGATCTATGCACACATATACACATATATACATATACACATGCACATATATGTATATGAAAGGTGTGTTTAAAACTTCCTTCATATTTGAAACCTGACTTTCCTTATTATTTTTTCCTCTGGGTTATTATTGTTCACTGACTACTTGGCTCTGTGCCTTCTTCAGGGAAGCAGGCTTCTCGGAAGTGTGCTCTGAATGGTCTGTGGGTCACTTTCTAGCCACTGATGTCTGTTCTTCATGGGTTGATGCTTATAAATTCTTTAACCCAGCAGATATTTCAGCCAATGTCCAAGCCTATGGTCTACACTGAATATAAGATGTTATGTAGATTATAGGATGAGTCAAAATATATATTGAATTCTGAAAGCAAATTACATGTGTCTGTCTGATAGACCCATTTCCAGAATTCTTAATTTCTAGAAGACTGTGCAGTTCTCTTTTTTTCTCATTTGATTCAAGTCACAGATTCCCAGGTCACATATGCTCCATTTGTGTTAGTTTGCTAAGGTGCTGCATCAGATACCACCAGGGTAGTGACTTGGAGAAAGACAAATTTATTATCCTGTGCTCTGCTATTTTAGATCTGAAATGAGTCTTACTAGGTTAAAATCAGGCTGTCAGCAGGGTTGCTTCTCTCTGGAAGCTCTAGGAATAATTCATTTCTCTGGTCTTTTCCAGTTCTTAGAAACCACCCAAACTCCTTGACTGGTGGCCATTTCTCTACCTTCAAAGCCAACAATGTCACAACTCCTCAGTCTGCCATCTCCCTGGCTTTGTCTCTTCTACTTCATCTTTCTACTTATAAAAGTCTTTGTGATTGCACTGGACCCACCTGGATAATTTGAGATAGTACTCGTCTCATCTTCAGCTGGGCTTTGGCCATGTAGTCAGATATATCCCCCAATTCCAGGGGTTTTGATGTGGACATCTTTTGGGGGCTGTTACTCTACCTACAGCATTAATGTTCCCTGATATTTCAATGATATCAGAGCTTTTCTAGATGAGGGTGGAAAGGGGGTAGACATCAGTGAGGACCTTTATCCTGGAGCCAGTGAGAAGCCAAACATGGAGGTGATACAATCTGCTCTACACTTTAAAATGACAGGGTCACAGGAAGCCAAGAATGCCCAGGTCTTACAACACTCACATACTCTGGAGGCCTTTACCTGGCTGCTTACTGCCAATGGGCCTCCTGCTTGATTCACTGCTCGTGTAGCTGGGCTTACCTGGTGTTAGGAGTATGAATCTCTGTCCTCTCTTTGTTCGTCTCCTTTGGTTGGCTAGGATATTATTTCCAGTGTTTTTCATTGTTCTTAGTGGAAAGTAGCGTGAGTCTGTGAATCTTATGTTGGCTGCACCAGAAATGCTTATTTTCATTATGTGTTCCCAAAAGATATAGGTGTAACCTCCCAACAGGATGTTAGCCCTTTATTTAACGTAGTTTCACTTCTTTTTCACATGCATATATAAACTCTTTATATAAACCATATAGGAGATGATCTTTCTCTCTGAGTAAATTCTAGTTACATACAGAATTATAGAAAATCTGTGACTTAGAAAATGGGAGATTTGTTCATGTAGTGTTTTAGTTTCATGTTATCTTTTCCATTTCCCTTCAATTAGAACTCTGCCAGCTTCTCTAACATATTGTGGTCCGTTACCTGCCCCTCCATAGGACAGGGAAATGTTAAGGTGACCCATGCTCTACCCCTTGGCCAGAGTTAAATGCCTACTAAAGACGTCCAACAGCACAAAGGCAACTGCCTAACACTGCAGGTACCAGGGACAATACATCTTTGAAGAAAACAGTCTTATTAGTAGGTAGCAGGCTTTTCTATACAGATAAATAAGAGGTGGCCAAGCAGAGTATTTCTTTTGAAAGTGCTGGTTTGAGGTTATTATCTGTTCTCCAAAATGAACTTGACCAGGGATTAAACTTCTCTGTCTTCTTTTTAGAGTTATTGTAGGCTTAGAGTTGATTTAAAGTAAATTTCATTAGGTCCCATTAATGTCAATCAAACCTTAAATTAAAAAATAATTTTTAGAAGTTGGAAAATAATTGGATAAAGAAGTCACCATAGAGAATTTTAAATGACTGTGGGTTTCTATTCATGTTAAAAGCAAAATCTTGAAAACAGTGACTCCCCTAACCTCCTTCTGATATTTTGCCTAATTACCAAATATATCCACTTTGCGAGAATTGCTTTTAGGGGAATAGTCTTTAGTAAAGCACCAGCTCTATTGGAATGTTTAAATGGAATTCATCATATGGATAAGATTTGATTCCATGGTGTCATTCAATCTCTTTTATATAGGACCTATTTTTTTTTCTTTGCATGTAGGAAACCCTTTTAATGTGGACACTCAAGTCCTAGGCAGTGTAGGTGTTGCCCAGGAGTTTTATAGAGAGATGATTGGGTCACAGGCCCACCCCTAGTCCTAGAAGTGGAAATAGAGTGGTGCAGGTTCACCCAGTCAGGCCAAAAGGAGTCCAGCAAGTGGCCAGCCAGAGACCCAAAGGTCAGCTTTGAGAAGGTATCTGAGCCAGGTGAGTACCTAAGCCAGAGCCTGCTCCAGGGAAGTAATGGTATGGGCCTGGCCGGGGATGGCCATATCCTAGTGGGTGACGTCACTGGGACTGCTACCAAACCCTGGTGCTTGCCTTCTGGTTGGACTCCAGTAACTTTTTAAATGTATCACTGAAATGAACTAAAAGTTGTTCTTTCAAAATTTTAATTGCTTTACTTGTTTTAAGGAAAATTTTACCATTCTTTTTTATACTGATAAAATGTAGTTAATAAAAATGTTTATTTTCATGAATTATCAGTCTTCTAAAAGTCATGGAATATGTTCATATTATTTGTTCTGCAGTATGGCATGCAGCTGTACCAGAATTATATGCATCCATATCAAGGCAGAAGTGGCTGCAGTTCTCAGAGTGTATCACCTATGGTAAGGACTACATTTTTGAGCCTGTATTTTACATTTAGATATATTAATTTCCTGTTATATTATTCTTAAATACTGTAATACATTTACCATTTCTTTTTGGTCAAATAAAATAAATCAGGTTGTCTAATGCTATATTGAATTTGGATTTTATCTATTACTGAGCCTTTATGATAAAGTAATAGTAGTATATGTGAAGTATTGAATTAACAAACAGTGTTTTATGTTAATGAAACCATTTTCCATTTTAGGAAGATTTGCATAAGCAAACCTATGTCATTACGTCATTTGAGGATTATTCCTTTTTTATGGTTCTTTTTCAATATTGGGGATTGAATTCAGGACCTTACACAGGGCATGCTAGGCAAGCACTCTTCTAACCTACTACAGTAGCTGCTTAGATATTAATAATATACTTCATAGAACCTTTTTCTTGAAATTATAAATTATGTTTTCTTAATTATTGTTTTTGGTGTTGGGTTTATTTATTTATTTATTGAGACAGGGCCTCACTGTGTATTCCAAGCTAGCCTTGAAGTGGCTATGTAGTGGAGGGTGACCTTGAACTTATAGCAATCTCCCTGTCTCAGCCTTTAGAGTGCTGAGATTACAGGCTTGTGCCACCAACCCTGGATTAATATTTGTTTTAATACTGATCTTGGGATTGTCACAACATATAATGAAGATGTCAGTGATTTGCAATTTTAAAAAATGCGTTTAAAAACATTTTAGCTCTTTCTCAATTTTATAATGATATTTCTTTTTTTAAAGTTCTGTGTTCTTAAAAAGCAGACAGCTTCCCAGGAAACCCAAAAACTGCAAGCTGTAATATAGGTCACACGTTGTATTAACTCTAGCACTGCTTCTCAGATTTTTACCAGGTGTAACTTGGACATTTATTTGCAGACACACGCATGTACATTTTTTACTTTCTTTAGGTCTTAATTTTAGTTTCCTGTGCATTAACACAAATAATTTCTTTCTGAACTTACATTTATGTTCTGCTATTTTTGATGTACTTTTTAATACTGAGTATATTACAAATTCATATGTATGTGCCTCTGTTACAGATCAGTTAATGTGCATTTTTGAAACCTGTGTTTCCACTTAGGTAAAAATATGCTCTTCATGGTAGTGACAAAGGCCTTACCCGACACGTAATGTGGCAAGTGAAATGCTGAGTTCTAAGAATGAGGCATGAACTAATGTTGGTTATGAAGCCTGATACACTAGATAGAAAAAGAACTCCAGTTCTGTTATTGTGTTGCGTTAAATTATGAGAAAGCTTTACGTATTTGTATCATATTACTCTAATCTCTAAAATAAGAACCTAAGAATGTAATGAATTTTTATAAAAGCAGACACTTTAAGGTGAATATTTTCACAATTTGTCAGCTTACACTTAACTTTCAATCTATATATATGTAAAAAGAATAATGAATTTTATTGCCTTAATCCTGTCCTAAATCCTTCGGATTTCTTTTAGAGTCTGAAGTTATTACAAGGAACATGTTAAGCAGCTAAGCATTTGGAGGCACGTATTATGTAGTGTTCTTTTAACACAGAAAATATTACCATAAACAAATAGCTTGCATTCTCATCACTGACCTTAGCACACAAACATAATGTTACTCTCACATTTTTCCGTTGAAAGTAATTCTACTGTTGATAAAGGTGTGTAAATATTTGGATACCTTTATTTGTTTAATATCACATAGAGGAAGATGTACTTCTTGCATAGGGATCATGTGGAGAAGAGATTTAGATGCCTGTATGATAAGGACCTGCTCTGCAGTTGTTAAAATTGGAGAGCGCATCATTGAACCTTTTTTATCTATAATATTAACGCATCCACAACAGGTCTGTAATTTGTATGTCTTTCTGCCAGGTAGCTTTGTACCAACAGTGTTACATGCATTATTGTCCCATTGGGTGCCGTGGCACAGTCCCATCAGGCAGTACAAACCCAATGTCTTTACCTCTTTTGGAAAGATACCTACAAGGGAATAGTAGGGTCAGGTAGAATTTTTATTTTTTTTTATTTTTCTTGAGGAATCTCCCTACTGATCCCTGTGTTGCATGTCCTATTAGATTACATTTCCACTGAAAATTTAAAAGGCTACAATTTCCCCATAGCTTCTCCAGCATTTTTTAAAAAATTCTTTTTGAAATCAGTTTATTAGTTCATGTGGGCAGTACATGATTACATTCCTTCTGGCAAATTCCTACATCTACATGACACATTTTAATTATTTTTTTCATCCCCCTTTTTTGCTTCTCTTCTACCTTCCAGCCATAACCTTGAGCCTCTTTTCTTTTTTTGTACGTGTTTGCAATATATAATTTTTATAATTTTATTCCTCATGTGGAGCTGGTACATGTACATAACACAAATCCTTTTCTTCATGCCCCCTTTCCCCCTCACTCAGGCTCTTAATCACAGCCCTTCTTTCTGGAGTAAGAGGAGTCCCAGTGTTGTTTCCATTTGCATCTATCTAATGGCCATGTGAATATTTTTTCATGTACTTCTTTGTATTTTCTTTGTACTTCTATTCCTTAGAAGTGTCTATTCATTTCACTTGTTCATTGTTTGGTTGATGCTTTTATTGGGGGGAGACCTAATTTTTTTGTGTTGCTTATATATTCTAGGTATTAGTCCTTGGTCCAAAGAATAGCTAGCAAAATTTATCTTCCCATTCAGTAGGTTTTCTCTTCACTCTGTTGATTGTTTACTTTTTGTGCAGAAGCTTTTAAATTTGATTCTTGCTGATATTTCTGTGCAATTAGTGTTCAGTTCACAAAGTCATTACCTGTTCCTTTGTCTTCAAGTATTTTACCTATTTTTCTTTCCAGCAGATTGTTTCTGTTTTAATATCTAGATATTTTATGTATTTTGATTTTATTTTAGTACAAGGTGAGAGATATGGGCCTTGAGTCAATCTTTTGCATGCAGATAGCCAGTTGTCTCAGCACCATTTTTTAAAAAGGCTATATCTACTGCAGTGTATGTTTTTTGCTTCTTTGTCAAAAAATCAGATGGCTAAATGATCTAGTGGATTGTATCTTCATTCTTTGTTTACTTCTGCTGACCCACATCTCTGCTTTTATGTCAGTATCATGCTGTTTTTATGATTGTAGCTTTGCAAAGTAACTTGAAATCTGAGATTGTGCTATCTTCTGGTTTGCTTCTCTTGCCCAGGATTGCTTGTTTCATTTTGGGTCTGTTCTGGTTCCATATAAGTTTTAGAAATGATTTTTCTAGTTTTGTGATAAATGTTGTTGGGATATTGATTGGAATTTCATTTAATTTTTATATCAGTTTTAGTAGTAAGGTCATTTTGACAGTATTGATCCAGTAGTATACAGGAGGCTGTATCAGTGGTTTTGTATTTATGCAAGCATGCTTTATGACCCGAGAAAGTTCTGTTTTAGAAAAAGTCATGTGAGCTTCCAAGAAAATACATACTGTTTTGTTGAATGAAAAACACTCTGTACATATCTAATAAGTCTATTTGTTCAGTAGTGTGTCTTAACTCTGAAACAAAATTGCAGATTTTTTACATGATGGTCCTAATTGTGAGTAAGGTGTTGAAGTCCCCAGTATGGATGTATTGGTGTCCATCTGTCCTTTTATGTCCAGTAGTTTTTATTTTATGAAGTTGAGTTCACCAACATTCAGTGCATACATATTTACGTTGGGATCTTCACCTCTTGAATTGTTCCATTTACTTGTATGTAGTAGCCATCTTTCTCTCTTCTGATCAGTTTTGGCTTTAGGTCTATTTTGTTTAACAATAAAATAGCTACTTCTGCTTGCTTTTATGGTTCAGTTGCATGGAGTATCATTTTCTATCCTCTCACCTTTGGCCTCTTGACCTTCCTTTTAGATGAAGTGTGTCTCCTTTAGGCAGTATATGCTTGCATATCATTTTTAAAATTCAATTGTTAGTCTATGTCTTTGGGGAAGTTGAGACTGTTGACAATGAAAAATAATACTTCAACACATTCATGATGTGGCTGTCATTCGCATGCCTTCCTGCCTGGCAGCTCTGATTTGAAATTCCATTGTTTGATATTGATTAGCTGCCCACTAGTGATTCAAGTGACCAGATAGGACAGTCGTGCATCTACCACCAGTGGTTCAAGCCAGCTGGAGCATGCTTAGATGTTTACAGAGTCCTGCTATATTCTCTCATTGAGGGGAAGGGTGAAGTAGTCTACTGGATTTAGTGTCAGAACTTTCAGAAATACCCATTTTAGAAAACCACATGCAAGCAGCATGGCTTCTCACAATGGATGGGGCCTCTGGGTTCTTCTGACCTAAGTTCACTGCTGCTTAAACTTGTCAGAGACTTTGACTAGCTCACCTCATCTCTGCATTTGACTCTTGTGGCTGTTTCCCAACCTGATACTTTGGTAGGGTGACCCTCGAAACCCTGGAGTGTAGTTCTGTAAATTCTGATTCCCGGGCAAGCTCAGTCTTAAATACTTCCCACATGGGGTCTTGATTAATCAGTCTCAAATATATGGCACCTGCTGCAATGCATTTCTTGTGCAACTGTAGCCTGCCATGCAGAAGGAGCCACTTGCAGAGTAAAATCCTACACTGTACTTCCAACCTGTAATAACTGTGTGCTTTTCTTGACAGTAGCATTGCTGGCCTCATCCCTGGGGCTGCTGACCCTCTCTGTGCCTACCTTGTGCTCTGAGAGACAAATCCCCCCACCCGATGAATTGGGCTCAGCCTTCCAGACTGCTGCTGCTGCTTCTTTCTTTTCATTGATTTAAATTTCTTTGTACTTCTTAGTTTTCTTGTTATATTTTTCTTGGTTTCTTGAGTTCTTTTTTCTTTTCTCTTTGCAAAGATGTTGTTTTCCAGATTATTGTGATTGTAGGTCTTGGAGATACAGTGATGTGCTACTAGAATATATTATGGCACTTTCTCCTGTCTCAAATTTTTGTTCTTTATGTTTGACCTTGGCCTAGACATTCTAAACTGCAGTGTTTTCCCTGTCCTTGCCATTCAGTGGTACATTAAGGAACACTAGCCAGGAAATATTGGTGCTTTTACCATCAGCATTTGGTGTGACCTTGGTCTAATTATTGGTGTCCTGTAAAATAAGAACATAGTTGAATAATCTCACTATATTGCTGCTATCCTGTGGCTCTGTGCGAAACAGATGAAGGATAATATCTAAGGAAATTCTGTGACCTCTTGTTAATTACTAAGCTATAAGTTTATCTAGATCCTTTACATGAGGTGACAAAGAGTAGGTGACACTAGTTGCCATATAGCTAAATTGCCTGGAAAACGTTCTACATGCAAACTTCACTAGAGTGGAGTGGCTGGATCTATTCTCAGAACATGTGTTGCGTAAACCAGGGTTTACTCAGGCCTCCTATTTCTTAGAGAGCCATGCCATTAAAAGCATAGACCATTTGCTTACAGGCTGCCTTGTTTATTCTCTAAGAAGAAAAAGCTAGAAACTAGGACAAATATTTGAGAAGTATAACCAATTCTGAATGTTATCAACATTGCTTTCCTATATGAAAGAAATTGAGCTGAAAATGACCTTTTAAGTTTGTCACACTCTGCTTTACTTCCTTTTCTTTGTCCACCAAAGGTAAACTATTAATTTTTCATTGCCAGCTGCATGTCAGTGAAAAACACTTGCTCTGTCCATGTTTCCCCTTAGTGTAGTTAAGACAGCAGATGAAAAGTTTTTTATCTTCTAGTCTCCCTACATTTATCTTTTAATTATGGAACATGGGATCTTGTTTTTACATTCTGGCCTGCCATATTGGAAAAAAAACAGATTATGTTTACTTTTTCAAACAGTATTTTTATGTTATCTGGAGCTTGAGATTACAGAACCACTCTAGGCATTTGATGGAAGAGATACTCATAAGGATGAAGCTATCATTAAGATAGAGGCCACTCTGTAGCTTGGGCAAGTGGACATTTCTCATTAAAGTTGGTGAAGCAAAAGTATATCCAAGTGGTGCAGAGCCAGCACAGAAGACCATGGGGTGAGAAGGGCAAAGTAACGTGTGACAGCAAATAGAGATTACTGAGACAGCACCTGTTCGGAAAGAGCAGCTGTCAATTATGAAGACCCCTGTAACAAATGGAAGATTGCATGCCAGATCTCTAGAAATAGGAGATGAGCCATAATAAAATTGTGGATCACTATCACATGGTTTGCAGAGAATAACTGATGCTAAGAAAGTGGGGTGTGTGAGCTAAGAAAGTGGAGTGTGTGAGCTAAGAAAGTGGGGTGTGTGATATAATGGTAAAGAAATGCTAAGTCGCGGGTAAGGTATTGTTTGAAGCCCACATTCCACCAGTCTGTTCAAACAAGTGAGGTGTGGCTGAATCTACTTTGAGGGACAGACATAAAACTGCAAGCTGTGACCTCTCAGATGCAGGTGGACTCATACACACCTTCCCATTTCTACACAAGCAAAATGTAGAAATGTCTTTTTTTGTATCAGTTCTGTCATTCAGATTTAATTTTTCAGCTCTCCTTTGCCTATGAGTCTCAGCATGAAAAAGTGTTCAAACATGAAGCCATAGAAATTTTAATGCTGAATTCTCCTATTAATCCTCTAAATTTCATTTTCTAAGTAATGTAAAAGCCCATGTTATAAACTTACAAAAAACACACTTTAGTTTATCCCATTTTAAAATACAAGTACTATTTCTATGTATATTTGTGTCAATATAGGTTTTAGCTCTTACAGATCTTGAATCTCATAAAATAGCTGCGTTATAAGAAGGTGTATTTGATATTTAATAGGTAATTGATGAACCTGAAGGCTTAATCAGAAATAAGGCCTCTTTTTAACCATAGAAAGAATTATTTCTTTCTCAGTGGAGGTTTAGCCATTTTACCCAAGAGTTTAAAATGAAAAGTTTTTTTAAAAGGAAAAATACATACTTTCATTCCAAGTTTTTCACGTTTTTATTCAGCACTTAATTCAGTTATCTTAATAAATAACCGTATTTAACTAAAGTATTTTATATTATCATTTAATCTTAAATGTATATTTCAACTTTTCAAATCACTTTATAGCCACTTTTGGAGTCCCAGTGTAGAATGAAAACCTGTTGCCAGCACAGCACTGAAAGATAACTTTCAGTGATATTGTCATGGTTCACACTGATGTGTATTTGTTTTCTAGAGAAGTATATCAGAGAATTCCCTAGTAGCAATGGACTTCTCAGGTCAAAGAAGCAGAGTTATAGAGAATCCCACCGAAGCCCTTTCAGTTGCTGTGGAAGAAGGACTCGCTTGGAGGGTACTCAGTACTTTCACTTTCTTTGAAAATATTTATGAATTCAGTTTGTTTTTCCCAAACAGTTGAGATTTGTTTTTCCCTTCCTTGCTCAGAAAAAAGGATGCTTACGCCTGGGCATTCATGGTAGCCCCACAGCCTCCTCACAGAGCTCTGCCACAAACATGGGTATGTCTGTTGGTGGCCATTGCAGTGGAGTTGGTGGGCAGGTATAGGCACCTTAGCTGCAGTCACCAGGTGCATCGGGTGCGAGGTCCATGCAGGGGCATTGTGATCGTTTCAAACAGTCCTGTAACTTTCTTCATCTTATTTCTTCAGCTATCCATCAGTCACAGCCATGGTTTCACCACAGAATTTCTAGAGATGAGGCTCAGAGACTGATTATGCAGCAAGGACCCGTGGATGGGTGAGTTTGATATTTTTGGTTTTGAGTGGTGATGGCTTCAATTTCTGCTGTAGACAGTAATTAACATACTGAGTTTTTAGTTTTCACTTCTCATACAGTAGTAGCTTTGCTCTTTAATGATGGTTCTCATGTTGTGGCAGTATCTGTATAAGACCTGGTACAAAGTGTGTGCTTAGTATTTTTTGTATAAATTTAGTTTTAACCAGTGTCCATGCTGTATCAAGTCTAGCATCTTGGATATTCATGAAGGAAAAAAAAATAAACTAGTTTGGGTAATAACCTTTTAATTTGAATGTGTAATTAATATTCAAAAATGTGATTTGTCATGATGTTATACATGTTGGACTTTGTAAGGTATAATGCAGGGTGTATTGTATCACTGCTTTTTCTTATATATTTGAAATTCTTGTTTACTTTTTTCTATTCATTTATGTCTCTTTTGCTTTTTCTCTAAATTTTAGAAGCTAAAAATACTTTGGTATTTTTGGTAATTTTTCATGTTATCTTTTAATGAGGTACCAGAGTATACAGAGAATTATGAAATGTGTTATGAAAGAGTTATCATCCAAAGAATTTTCCTCTTAAGTTGCTCAGTGTCTTTCAGCTGCTGGTTATAACATGGACTACATTCCCTTTCCAAATGGAGTACAAATGAGAGACATTGTACTGAGGTTTGGATGAGAAATTAAACCAGTTTCAACTTAAACAAGTGGGAGTGGGCTCTTTTAGTTTTATAGCTTGACTTAAATTAATTACAAGGACTTGAGCTGATTTAATGTTGATATTTAGGTGAAAAATTCATCTTTACATAGATTATTACTAGTGAGTTAGCATTTCACTGACTTAAGATTTTATATGCATGGATCATAGTCTTTTTGGATATAAATGTGAGTAATCAGCAGTTACACTCTGGTGAGTCTAAGAAAAGTATAAATCATAAAAAATTATTTAAACATTTGGGAGTGTTGGAATTTCCATTTCTTCTGACCTCAGTATTTGTAAGCAAATGAAATACTTGTATAAACAGTCACCAACTCTCTCTCTCTCTCTTTTTTTTTTTTTTCTCTGTGTTTCTTTGGAAAGATGTGATGGTGCCAAGCAGTCCACTAGGTGGTGGTGGAGATCTTCTTGGGAAGGGAAAAAGAATTAACAGCTTAGTTTGCCAGAGCGACACCCTTTTGTCCCCTCACCCAGTGGGACACAGCCTCTGGGAATCTCACACAGCACATCTGTAAAGCCTCATATTTAGCTGCCTCTTTGCTCAGGCTCAGTGAGATTCATCTTGGAGTCACCAGTGGGAACCGTTTACACAGTGTGCTTTCCAGTAGTTAATACAAAACTGATTTTCCAGTATGGTGCCAACAAATAAGAATCCATGCCCAGCAGCCTTTTCCCTTTGGCCATCAAGCCTAGTCTTGTTTTTTAGCCTGATGTTATAGAAGCTTTTCTGCTGTGTTCTTCAAGGCTAAAATCCATGCTTTGAAAGGCTTCTGTTACTTACAGCGTTTTGCTTACTTTCATCAGAAGATTCAAGATTATTTTTATAATATATTCATCTCTTACTTTCTGGTGTATATGTAATAGTGGAAACAAGAATCAAAAGAAATACAAAGTAGAGAGTGTCCCTTTCTCTGCTCTGTTAATCTGATGCTGTATTAAATTTAACATAATGGAATATTTTTGCTTTGTTATCTTTTAATAAACAGCAAAATTCTTTCATTAAAAAAAGAATCAAAAGAAGAAAGTGGATCTGGTATAGAAATAGGGGTAAAAAATTACTTCATTCTAAATAAGGATCTCTTTTCAGGGACTTAATGTGACACATATTTAAAATATAACGTACTAATGCATTATTCTTTGTGATAATAGCTACATGGTATTAACTAATTTCCCCATGGAACACAGAACTAATAGTGTAACATTATATTGGTTATTGCAAACAAACAATTGACAAATTGGCCATATATTTATCCTATTAAAATTATATTAGCACCAATGATAGTTTTGTAACATAAGATTTTGTTATAAAATATTGTAAAGTAAACAATCTTACCGGTACACTGAATGCAGAGTAAAGGTTGCCACATTTATGAATACACTTCCTGGATTTGTTACGTGCTATTTATGAAATCCATAAGTAAATGTAGAAATATATTGAAATTCCTTTTCTCTCTTTAGAGTGTTCTTGGTACGGGATAGTCAGAGTAACCCCAAAACTTTCGTACTGTCAATGAGTCATGGACAAAAAATAAAGCACTTTCAAATTATACCAGTAAGTAATTTGTGATTTCAAATCTGTATATTAGAAATGATCTTAATGCGTAAGCTTTTGGAAACTTCGATTTTTTTTTCTTCATTTTATTAAATATAATTTTGCAGCATGCTTTGACTAGAGTTAAGTTTGGCAGAAATGGTTTTATGAGCCTGAATTAATATAAGAAATACAGGAATTGTAAAAATTAAATTTCCCTTTTTCTATAAAATATGATTTAACAATACTGTTATAGACCTTATGCCACCTGTTGTTAAAAGGCCACTAAAGAATCTCCTGAATTCTCCTAATAGTTTCTAATAAAACATTATTTTAGAGCTCTTTCCCTTTTCTTTTCTCAAAAAGATGAATTTTTGATGTTGCAGTTTTGCTGGTTTGTTTTTAATCATAATGGATAGACACTCAAGAGCCGTGGATCTGATGGACATTTAAATAATTCTGAGAAAGTTTTTAGAATTTCTGTGATTTCTACTTCCGGGTAACACAATTCGCTTTGAGATTTTTGTTACTGTTTCTGGTGTGCATCTACATGCATATGCATGTATGTTTGTATGTATTCTTTATATTGGAGTCAAGTAATGTACAATAGATTCATTCTACTTTCAGGAAAGTGTTAGGTAAGATTGTTAAATGCCTAATTCTTCCTTTAGTTTCCTCTTTTTGGAATTATCCAAAGGGCATATATCTATCTCTTTGATTATATTCCTATCTCTTTGATTATATGATCAATATATCCAAGTCTGAATTGAAAGCTTCCCCCCGCCTCCCCCCCAAAAAAAAGAAAAGAAAAAAACCTGGCCTTCCTTTAGTGTGTTATTTGATTCCTTTAGAATCAACTTGCTGTTATAAATTATGTGAGTATTCATTTTTATATACCAAGTGAGGCATTAAATAGACAGTATTTAGAAATGGAAATTAATTTCTGTAAGTGGGGACATTAAACTCCTCTACTTGTTTTTTTTCAATGAATAGTACAGATTTCTCACAATTCATTAATTCAAAATAGCAATACTATCCTATCTAAACAGAATACTGGGAGAATTAGAATATAGACAGTAAAGCCACATTGGTATTCTAAATACCATTCTTTTAAATTGCGTAAAAGAAATGGGCATGCTGTAGTGTTCTTTTCAATCTGCTTAGTTTTGTAAACTTGTGAATTTTGGCATACGAAGAGATAGTGTGCGGTGGAGTGGCCCTTCTGAGTAATATGCTGTCTTTACTAAGTTGTTGCTTTTCTGACTGCAGGTTGAAGATGATGGTGCAGTATTCCACACTCTGGATGATGGCCATACAAGATTTACAGATCTCATCCAGCTGGTGGAGTTCTATCAACTGAACAAGGGTGTTCTTCCTTGCAAGCTGAAACATTATTGTGCTAGAATTGCTCTTTAACCAATTGAAAAGTGACTTGTTAAAGAATTGAAGAAAAAGAACTCAAGAAAAAAAAAAGAGAGACAGTAAATAGGGTGAAAACTATCTGATGGTAAAAAGAGAGTATTTTACCTGCAAGTTGTGAAACAAAGTTTGTGAGTTGCAAATAAACAAAGACTTGGATTGGCATTACATTCATCATTTAAAATTTATTAGTTAAAATTAAACCTTAGGGGAAAAAAAAAGACCTGTGTGTTCTTGTGTGATTTTACATTACATTTTCCAATAGACTAATATCTGTCTATCCTCATTTACTACAGCAGCTTTAAATTCTCAGATACAAACAATGAAAAATAAATTGGGAATTCAAAATGATTTTCAAAATAAATTTTAATTATACTGCATTTTTAATATTAGGAAGTATGGTAAAAGCTTGAATAATAAATGAAATTATCCACAACTTGTCAATACAACTAAAAACTATTGAATTCTGTGTTTTCAGGGTATGGTATGCAAGTGTACAATCAAAATGAGATATTTTGAGGTAGCAGCTTAAAATTATTTTGCAATAAATTGATTTTTTTCTGACATTGAATTCCTAATTATACTATAAAAACTATTCTAGTACTGTAATAATTAGTGGTACATTGTTTTTTGAATGTTTAACATTTAATTTAGCACTTGATTGGCTAGAAATACCTGTTCTTTAAAAAATTTCATGACATGTAATAGTTTAGATCCTTTTGTAAGTAGATCATTGTCCTAATCAAAGGAGGTGACATCTAAGATTAGAAATCTATAGGTATCCAAAATTAGAAGTCTATAAGTATCCTAATAAGTGAATCCTTATTCTTCTCTACATCTGTCCTCTTCTTAGTTTTTTATCATAGTAGCATCAGTATGGAAGCCAAAGATTTTGATGACTTGAAACACGACTCTCTTATCTTCTTTCTGTCTAACTCATTCTGGGAAGATTTTTTTGTTTGTTTGTTTGTATGTTTTTTTCTATGTCTCTGTTGTTCTCATTTTTGTTGAAGGTGGTTGTTCTAAGACAAAAGGAAGAGAAGCAAAACACGAACTAAGCATTCTCTTTATATATATAAAATATTGCCTATATCCTATAACTGACCTTTATAACAACACTGTAGGGAAGTCAGAATTTTGTTTTAACAAAATTCAGATATGCATACTTTAGTTTTACATAAAAAATGTATAGTTTTGGTAACGAGGCATAGAAAATACTCCTGGAATGCTATTAAAATTGTCACTTAAAATAATTGTTTGTTAAATTTTAAGATATTCAATTTACTTTAACACTGTAAACATACATTATAAAGTACTGGAAGTTAAGATATTACTCTAAAGTTACAAAATCCTGGTTTGATTTCCACAAAAGTTTGGAAGACAGGATTTCTAAATGGAACAGTGGGAAGTAAACATCTTTACCCCTTTCAGAGTGGAACTGAGTATTTCAGATTTATTTCCAATTTATAAAAATGCTTTGTGTTTTGAACTGGAATGCATTCATTCATTTTGTACCCAGATCAATTAGGTAATATCATAAAATGTAATATTATAAATACTATGATAAATTGACCAATTCTTGCATGTCTTTGTTATGTGTCTTGTGATTTCATTCATAATCTAAACATATATTTAGCTGACCCAGATATTATATGTAATTGTTTTCTTTGGTCTTAAGTCATAAGTCAAAGAAAATTATTGCAAAAAGATTGATAAAGAGAAATCATTGTTTTGATTCCTTCCAAAAATGAATCATATTGGCCTTTGTGTGTGTGTGTGTAAATTTAATATGGATGTCAAATTTGAGAAAGTCAGACATACTTACTACAATGTTAAAATACATTCACTAGAAAATGTGAATTACCCTAGGTTTATCTTCTATTTTGCACCATTTTGGATACAAATGAGGACAAATTAGCTGATTTTTGCTAACTGTTCACATGTTACAGTTAGAATGCTTCATCTCTGAAAGGAATGCAGTAGACCTTCTGATGCCTGTTTCTGTAGGTTTTCTTTTTTTAGATAGGGTTTCACTGTATAGTTCAGGCTGAGTAGCCTAGAACTCCAGACCATTTTGCCAATTTTGCCTCAGTCTTCCAAGTGCTCAAATTATAGGTCTATGCCACCATGCCTGGCTGTTCTTGTGTATTATATTGAAGGATTAGGTTATTATTTTGAAACATCTAGAAGACCTAATCAAACAAGGTAAAAATTCCTAACAGTGCTTTAATTTAGAATCATTAGTTACTTGTTTCACGTGTATTAGAGTGTAAGTTCTAACTGATCTGAGTAGATTGGATAGGCATCATTGTGTTCTACTACAGGGCAGTTGACATTAGTTAGCCTAAGTCTTACGAGGTCTCTAACTTTTGAACACCAACAATAATAACTTTGCTTATGGCAGCTGTATTCCTGGGATGCTGGACTCTTCCCTGGTCCTAACTTCCCTGAGGAGGAATGACTGTCATTTGTAATGCTACAACCTGGCTTTTCTTGCTGGCTTCGCCAATCACAAGGGCACTTTTAGGCTTTGTGCTTCTCAGATCCATTCCTTCGCCTGGTGAAGCGTATGGGTACCTTTTCACAGAATGCCTTTAAATATGTAAAATAAAATAAATAGAATTTCAAAGCAAACTAACTGTATAAAGACTTAACTGTAGAATGGTGTATGTTGGTGAACCCGTGCCTTGCTGCATTGCGTCTGGCTATTGACAATCACCCATGTAAATCCTCCAGTTTTCTGTCTTGTGTTCATGTCTTTTAGGGGACATGACACCACCAATAAGGCAGAGACGAGTTTGTATGAAGTGCAGAGTCACTGTCACACTTGCTGAATATTAACTGAGCCCAACTCGATGCCTACCTGTGGTGGGACTGTATCACCTTGGCCAGTGCTGGCTCCCATAGTTTCACCATTAAGTGTACTCGTAACTGGAGTACTGCTTGTAACGTCTCTAACTGCTCCTCACACCACAAATTAGAGGTGGGTAACAGAAAGGCCAGCTTCTTGGTTCAGCACATAATCACCAAAATAGTTCATTGTAGAAATTTCCCAGATGAGTTTCTCACTTGTGCAAATACTTGTTTTGCAGTTGGAGTATCATGTGCTTAGTCTTTGCTATGTTGATATCCTTTGTAAGAATAATTAATTCCCTATTTTCTAATTTAACCTAACAATACATGAAGTATTAAGAACTAGAGTTAAGATACTAATTATGGCATCACACTTTCTAGATTTGAATTCCAGCCCATTCTTAGCAAGTCTGAAGCCTTAGTCAAGTCAGTTTCATATTTTAATGGAGGGGACTTTACCACCACTGCCACTCACCATGGTCTTTATTACCACCATCACATTTTAAATTGTCTTAAAGTGGGAGTTTAAATAAAGTCATTCATAAAAAGTGCTTAACATTATTTGGAATATTAATGTATACTGCAGGTATATATTTCTTGTAACATTGTTTATATTAGTGATTGTATATTTAAGTCCTCCACCTGCTGAGAACACTCCTCTTCCCACACAGTGTTCTTACTGTATGGCACCTATTGTTTGCCTTTCCTGCCAGGACCAGTGTGGTGTGTTTTTATAGCGTGTCTCTGCCCTTCCTGTATTTGTTCCTTTCTATAAGGCTACTCTTAAGGAAATGGCAATTGAACACAGCAGCTGAGGCTTCCCAGATCATTTTTAAGGACTTGTATTCAATCATACTATGGCCACGTTGCATAGTATACCATGCATACTATTATTCACCTGCTGATTAAATATGTAAAATATGCTTTGGAATTTTAACGTTGTCCGCCCGCCCTTCCCTAATTACAGTGACTGTTAGAATAGGAAATACAGAAGATTGGAAACCAGGTTAATAGCCCTTGCTTGGACAGGGTGGAGAAGTTGAAAAAAAACTTGTGTGACAGATTAATCTCTGGGATGTTAGTAAAATTTTTCTGAGTGAACATGTCCCTCCTTTGGCTGAATTCATGCTGCGTGTACCTGATCCCTCATTTAGTGTTAGCATTCTGATTAAGAGTTGAAAACAATACCTTACTTTGTGTGCTTAGTAAATTCACTCCAGCATGTATTGAATGCTCACGAGGTGAAAGCCGTCTTTAGAGATGCAAAATTGGATAATGCGATGTAGATGTACACAGATCTATCCTAGAGTGCAGTTGCGTTAGAGTTACATTATAGATACAAAAGGGTAGAGACTGGAAACACTTGCTGAAGGATGGGAGGAATAAAATGGATTCTTGGAAGACTTGTGGGAATCAGACTTACAAAGTCTAGAGAAAGGACGGGACAGTGTCATCAAAGGGTAGGAGGCAGTGCCAGGCAGCTTGGAAAGGACATAGATTAAACTTGAAAAGATTTTATGGGCAACGGTAACTTCATTGTAACTGAAGTGTATAGCACATTCTCACTTAGTCACGACACATAGGACTGGAAAGGTAAGTGCCTCTTGCATTTGGGAGATTTCCAACATTTGGAAAAGCAGGTTATATTTTAGTTAGGTAATAATACAGCCAAGTACCTCAGTATTTCACTCTTCTAATTTTTTTGCTTCCCTGAAATCATAGATGGGCGTGTATAGCTTCTTATTTACAATGTGCTTTGCACATTGAAATTCTCAAAAATATCTACCAAATGATTAAGTGATCTTGTTCTATTTTTATCTTAGAAGTAGCTTAGTAATCTGAAGTTAGATACTGTATTTGATCTTAGCCAAAAGACAAGCAATAATAATTGAAGTTAGAACACTTTTTTGTGTGATTTTAAACCAGGTTTATATGAAACCAATTTCTCATAAAATTGTAATATTTTGGCAGTGTAATAATTTGATGGCTTTAGATATTCTTTCTGTTGCATTTTCATGGCTAAGGTCTAAAACAGCTTGAAATCAACTATTAATAATTTCATTAGTTACTAAGCATTCATATATCTAACACTGTAATGGTTTCTTAAAATTTGAGAAAATAATACATGGAATAAAGTGTCAGGTAACATTAGTTTGTAATTAAACATGCTCTTGTGACACACCTGAAACCTACACATCCATCTTACATCTGAAAAAGGAGTCATTTTTGAACCCTTTCTCTTCCTTGCCAGGCAAAGCTCACACAACTTTGCTTTATTCATTACTTTAACTCCAATTTGTCACCAGATTGTGTGTGTGTGTGTGTGTGTGTGTGTGTGTTTAGGACAAAAAAACTAACATGAAATGTA